AGGCAGAATATATTAGATTTCCCAAAGTATATTAAATTTCTTTTAGGTATATTCTCTAATTTCCTTTATATCCTCTAGACATAATTTCTTCTAGGTGTTAGCACATAGACACTATTTTCAAAGATGACCTGGATAATATTTGTAATTTTGTTTTATTGTACTAAGTTATCCTATTAATTTGAGGTAACTAATGGAATAGAAAGCCTTTAGGCTTTCCTTTGAGAATTGTTTATCTGTGAACAATTTCTCTTTGAGCATCATCTTTTGAATCTGGAAAATGTACCCTGAGTGAAGTGGGGGAGTTTTAGGTTTTGCAAAATGTTGAATGAACAAATGGACAAAAAAAAAAAAAAATAGACTTTTCTCTTTATTCAAAGCTTCCACACCTTGCTTCACTCTCACAAGAGAATTTTTTATCTACAAATTTAAGGTGCACAGAATTGTGGGTCGAATTTCTGAAGCTGGCAGATTTTGAGATTTCTGGTTAGAACCAGTTTGAAAACTGGATGCCACTTCAGTTAGTTCTACCTGGCCATGTAGTTTCCCCACGTCTGTCTGCCTGGAGCTGTCTCCTCTGTGTGTGCACCTGTGCCTTGTGCTACCCTTGATAGCTAAACTCATGTGATGGGCAAACTAAAGCCACCTGTCACCTATCTTGGGGCCTGAAGTGTGCCTGGCAGTGAGGCCAAGCTGGGAATGGTAGTTGTTGGAAGAATAAGAGAACAGTGGAGAATTGCTGAAATAAAGTGCCAATAAACGTAACTTACAAGTAACTGGAGGCAAATTTGTTAATGTCTTCAATATACTGTTTGTGGTATTAGCAACACAGTTTAAAGCTTTTAAAAAATGATTATCATTACTTTTTTTTTTTTTGGTACCAGAGATTGAACTCAGGGACACTCAACCCCTAAGCCACACCCCCAGCCCTATTTTGTATTTCATTAATAGACAGGGTCTCACTGAGTTGCTAAGCACCTCACTGTTGGCTTTGATCCTTCTGTCTCAGCCTCCCCAGCCAGTGGGATTACAGGCGTGCGCCACTATGCCAGGCTTATCATTACGTTTTGTAGCGCTGGGGTTCTAACATAGGACTTGACATGCAAGGCAGGAGCTTTACACTCAGCTATGCCCTAACCCTGAAGCATTTTTTTAATATACCTTTATTTTATTTATTTATTTTTATGTTGTGCTGAGGATCAAACCCAGGTCCTCGCATATGCTAGGTGAGCGCTCTACTGATGAGCCACAACACAACCCCAGCCCCAGAAGCATTTTTTTTTAAAACCACATTATTTACCTGAATTAATGTCTCCACTGGCAATCAATCCTTGATTGATTTCTATTCATTAGCTTTTGATTTAATTAATAAGACATGTTAAAGAGGAATCCTCAATGTTTTCTTGTAAACAGTTCTAATTAATTGATTCACATGAATTTTGTGAATATTATAAGTTATTTAAATCAACATTTGAATTACATGTTTTGAATCTTCGTAAAATAAATTACAGGTACAAGATAATTAGGAGATACAATGTTTATTTTGTTATTCATAATGTAATACATATCTTTTAATATTAAGAACTAACAGGACTTACTTAGGATTTCAAGTATTTCCCGTCATACTGACATTTCCAATTCATATGTACAAAAAATAGAATGTTAGAAAGTTTCAGAAATGTTACTTTTTTCCAAAGGAGGAGCCAGTAATTTGGGATTTTTCAGTAGCCTATAAAGCTGAGGGGGCTGCAGTAGGTGAGTGTGCAGACATACGGAGGGAAGCTAATTAAGAAAAGAGAAGGTTACAGTGACTGTGAGGTTAAAGAGTAATTTGATGATCAATATGATTCTTAATGGGAAACCAATGAAGCAACTGGAAAGAGGGGATGCTGCTGATTAGTGGTCTGTGCTCAGATTATTAAAGGATAATGAATGTTTTGAAACATGTCTATTGGGTGTAAAAAGGTTAATTAACAAAGCATTCTATAAATTCTAAAACTTTGGAAGTGAAAATTTGTCTATATCTACATGTATCAAAAACAAAGAGGCTGCACCTTTAATCTGAGAGAAAAGAAAATGAAGAAAAACATGAAAGGAGATGTTGAAAGCTTTATAAAGTTTTGGTATTTCCGTAATTTTTGAAAATGATTTTTATACTTAATTCTTGATTTATTTTGCATGTTTGAGTAAAAAATATGAGTGTATGAACAGTGTCAACATTCATTCATTAAACATTTTTGTGTGCCAGGAAATAATAGGCAAATATCAGCTAATGAAACAGCCCCTCTACTTCTGGACCTATTATAGTATAATATAAATTTAAAGGAGATTTTAGTTTCACATGTGTGATAGATAAAGTCTCAATGTCACCAACTATTGTGATTATCATGACCTATTACAAAAACTAATACTTGTAGGTTCAGTCATGCAGATTTTAGAATTAGTATTCTATGAACCTTTGTTTTGTTCTTTTATACAGTTATAGGAAATAAATTCAAAATTTTTTTTAACCATGAAAGTAATGCAAATTATTCTATGAGAGTATTTACAAGGGTTCCTTCTTTAGTTTCATTTGAAGAGTGCTTACCCAATTAGAGGCTCTGCCACGCTCAGTGTGGTAAAGGCCAGTCATGGTTTCATGGCTGAGAGTGGTTTTTAAGTACATGATCTTCAGAAGTATCAGGTTCCTGTGTTGTGTTCCAGAATTCAGTTCACAGTACATTCAAGCTAACTCTTCTCAAGGGAAATGGGAAGCTTTGTGGGAGGAAGGTTGTGTGTTTAATGGGTGAGGGGAAAATATCTGTAAATGAGAGGAAAATTCCAAGCAGTTCCTGGAATCAGTTGCTGCCTCCTCAGGGAGCCAGGGATGAGCTCAGCTGGGCTGAGAAAAATCTGCACAGATGTCAGCACTTGCAGCCTCAAGCCTTGCCAAAGGCTCCTGAGTCCTAAGGACAAAGTGAAGAGCACAAGGTATAGACTCCACCTGAACCCCACGTGCCTAGCAAAGTTTTGCCTGCACCTGTGTACTTGAGACACACACAGGATGGGAGGAATCAAGGTAATGTACTCAAGACCAGAGGTGGCAGAGCAGCAAGGCAGTAGGCCTGTCCTCCCAGCTGAAATCAGGAGAAATCAGCACAACTTCTGAGCTTCAGGACATGACTCTGTGGATCCTTGTACCAGTAAGAATGGATTTCACCATCAGTTCAATGACAAATACCACTGGGATGGTTGGACTGTGACAAATTTCTTGGCCTTTTGGGTTTTATGTCTATGACAATTTTTAGAGGAAAATGAAGAGCAATTAGATGTAGTTTTTTCAAAAAGGCATCTGTGTTCTTTATGTTAGACTCAGGTGCTGCATTTTCTGGGTCACAGGAGATCTTCTTTATGTTTTCTTTAACCTCTGAAGATCCTTGGTAGGAATGTAAATGGCAACAAGAGAGCTGAGGTTGTAGCTCTCTGGTAGAATGCTTGGTTAGTATATGCAAAGCCTTAAGTTCTATCCCCCCAAAAGAAAGAAATAATAATAACTAAATTGCAACAAGAAACAATTTGTGATCTATGAGGCTGACAAAGTCAAATATTAATAACACATAGCATACATGACAGAGAAAGAACAGGAACTCTCTTTGTTTGCTATGGGAAGGGTCAATTGGTATCCTCTGTCTCGAGTACATTTCCAGTATTCATCAAAATTAGGAATTTATCATGCAGACATTTTTTCATGGATGAAATTTTGTATACAAGAATTTTCATTGCATCATTAGAGTAGCAAAAAATTGAGAACAAGCTAAATGCCTATCAACAGAGGACCAGAATTCAGTATGTTATGCTCATGCAAAGAAATACACTCTGGCCTTCCAAAAGCAAGAGATAGTTTTCTATAAATGTATTAGGAAGTAACCTAAATAGTTATTAAGTCACAAAAGCAATACACAATGTACTCTGAATTCTATACTATCATTTGTGTATGTGTACTTATATGTGTGTGTGCACACACAATTATTAATGTGATACATATGTCTATGGAATCTGTGGACCTTAAAGTATAGATGAGTAATGGTAAATGATGACCCAGAGGGTGAGAGCTAGGTGGCTGAAGCAGAGTATGGCAGGGAGATTTATTTTTCGCCAGATAACCTTCTTGTACCCTTCACATTTTTAATGTGTTTTTTTTTTTTAAAAAAAAAACTATTTTAATTAACAAACCAACCAAATTGAGTATGCTGGTAGGTCTTGTAATTGTGGAAAATAGAGCAATTAAGAAGACCAATAGGAATAATCATGTTTTCAATAGTTGACAGAATTGACTGGATAAAATGGTGTCTCTATAGCATAATCTTACTCTTAATTAGAGCCGACACACATTTAGGATGTGTCTGGAAGAGCCATCTGCTTTGGATAGGTTTTGTGTAATCTTGTAATAGTATATTCATAACTTTTTGATGATATACTGTAATATAAAACACAACCAGATCAAATATAATCATGGAAGGCTCTTAAATAAAAAAAAGTGGGCAAAATGGGTGATGTTGAGAGAGGAGAGAAGGCTAAGTGTTGGATTTCTGTCCTGGGGGACTGAATGACCTCATCAAAGACTGAAGATACAGACGTTTCAGCAAAAGAAACAAAGAAGGAAGCTATTGAGAAACAAAGAAAGTTATTTTGGGTGCAAGATTTTTCATTAATTTGAGAATAATTGTCAAGTGTGGTGATTTTGTTAAATACTAGTTTCATTCTGGAAGGAACAGAGTGAATCACAGAAAACTTCAATTAAATCTTGGCCTATGCAAGTGTGAATGTTTAAAATGTGAATATTTATGATGATGATATAGCATTCCCAGCCTTACAGAATTAATCTTGCTGTGGTGGTATAATTGAGTCACTGACATTTTCAAAGCAAAATTGCATAAAATAGAAATGGTAAGGAAGACAATTAGAGCCTTAATAGGCACATATTTTCACTTTTCATCTTTTTTTGTTGTTGTTGTTTCTCTCAGGGTAAATGGGAAGTTGGTAGCCCTGAAGGTGATCAGGCTGCAAGAAGAAGAGGGTACCCCTTTCACAGCAATCAGGGAAGGTAGGCACTTTTATTTGTTGTCTGTGCCTTTGTGTTTGTATGATGTTTGTAACTGCGTACGTATTTTACATCTCAGAATATGCTTAGTTTTTAAATTAAATTTTTATATTTTTCATTGGTGTGTGCCTCTTAACAAATTATATCAAATTAATGTTAAGAATACAAGACTATACTGCTGTATGTCTACACATATATATGTATGTTTTGTAACCATATGTATGTTTAGAAAAATACTGCTATGCATTGATGGTAATTGAGGACTTCTGTATATTTGATTTTATTTGAGGAGCTCCTAAAATACATATTAGTGTGACATTGCTCTACATTCATGTTTTATGGGAAATTCTTTAATAATGAGAAGCTCATGGTATGCTATCTTATTAATCATTTGAATATCTTCTTTCTTGATTTCTTTGTATATGTCATTTACTGTATCTTCTATTGACTTTCTTATTGATATAACCTTTATATATTAGGGAGACTTATATTGTAATATTTCCTCTACTTTGCCATTTTCCTAAAGATTCCTTTTATAATGTAGTTGCTATATAAGATTTTAATTTTTATGAAATTAGTTCCTGCCTAGAAAAGTTTCTGTGCTTGAAAAGAAATATCACCCCTTATTTGTAGGGAATTTTTAGTTCAGTGTCATAACTCAGGATTAGTAGCTTTATCTCTATATCTTTCAAAGTACAAATTATTTTGACCTGAGATCTCAGTTTATTTTTCATTGAAGAGATCACAGCTACTTGTTCTGTGGAGCCAGATGAGTTAAACATCAGTGTTTTACCTGTATGAAGGTCCTGGTGAACTACATGCACTCTCACTAGCCTGGCTTGTTTCTCATAACTATCAGTATAATTTACACTATTTATTTCTGAGAAATCTGCTTTCTCTTTCTACTTTCTCTCTTCTCATTCCTCTTTTCATCTCATATTTGTTTGGCTTCCTTCATTCCTATTTAGCTGAGACTGCTCTTATAAAGTTCATGAGTTACCTCCTTCTCACCAAACAGAATGTACAGCTCTCATTTTTATTTAACCATCCTGTTAACAAATGCACATGGTTGAAATTTTCTTTTCTGTGATTCTTTCAAATAGAAATAAAAAGTATGATTTGTACAGATGTATTAAGGTTTTCCTTTTCCTCTTGTGCTGGCTTTTTCCTCTAAGTTTTGGAGAGTTTCAGGACAGGGAGGGGATTTTCCCTCCTACTCTAATAAGTACTTTTTCCTAGGTGATTCCTTTCATGAATTTAAATAGCAGCCACAATAACCTAGACACATGCATCCCTTTAAGACCTTGTCTCCATCTCATTTCACATTCCTCTGCCTACTTGGCATCTCCTCTTGAATCCAATAATATATATTAAAAAATATATCACTATCAAGCAAGGCTCATTGTGGGAATGCAAGTGTGGTTCCATCTTCAAGAATCAATCATTGCATAACAGTTACCTCAAACTTACATCCCAAAAGCTCTTTTGTCCTTTCACCATATCCCAAACCATATTATTCCTGCATTCCTAATAGCAACATCCAGTCTTATCCTACCCAAATGTAGCCAATCAACAAGTCAAGTCCTATTGATTAGTTCTCTAAAAGATATCTCAAATCTGTTTATATATAGCACAAGTGTCTCTTCAGTGTCACCCCCTGTATTAGTAAGCTTTTCATTGTTGTGATGAAAATGTCCAACAAGATGAGAAAAAGTCGATTTGGGCTCATAGTTTCAGAGATTCAGTCACAATCAACTGGCTCCATGATTCTGTACTTTAGGTGAAGCAGAATATCAGGATAGAGGGGATGGAAGAGGAAAGCTGCTCACCTCAAGGTGTCTGGAAAGCATAGAGAGAGGAGAAGAGGTCAAACCCTTTCAGGGTACGCCCTCAGTAACCTCCTTTTTCCAGCCATGCCCCACCTGCCTGTAGCTAGCACCCAGTTAATTCATTCACACTAGGATACACTGCTTAGATCACAGCTCTTGTGATCTGATCATTCACCTCTTCATGTACTTCCATTAAATAGAAGCTTTTGGAGGGCAAAAAAGCCAAACCATAATGGCCCCAGTCCAGGACATCATCAGTTTTTCCTTGCAATCACTTCTAAATTGAACTCCCTGCTTCTTCTCTGGAGTTATTATTGTCTGTTCCCTACTCTGAAACTAGTATAATCTTTTTAAAGAGCTAAATCATATTATATCACTCCCCTTATTTAAAACTCTGTGTCAAATACTGTATGACTGGTTTTTCTTCATTCATGCCACAGGGGTTTCTGTTTCAAGGATTTTACCCATGCTCTTCTCCTGGTTACAGTGCTCTTCCTTGGATCTTTTTAGATGCCAGGTATTAATTTAAATCTCTTTTCAGAGAAGTTTTCCTATGGCTTTCTTATCTAAAATAGCAGCTAACCATTATCCAACCCATCTTTACTCACCAGGTCACCATCCTGTTTATTTTTGTTATGATTCTTATTGGAATCTGAAATGGTGTCCTGTCTTCTCTATTCACTACAATCTTATAGAATTCATGGATCTTTATTGAACTTTCACAGGAATAGCCTCACCATTCAGCATGGCGTTCACTCTATCATAGTTATTGCGTGACTTACAGAAAATCATTAAGCTGGAGTCTATAAATATGATGAAGTGTTAGATAGGGTCTTTGCTCTCAAGGAATCTGTCTTCCTGGTGGTAGACAGAGCATATAGATAACAAGTTGAGGAATAATATATGGTGGCACATCAATGTCAAATCATTTTGAAAATATTCTAATTTCTAAGTAAATCCCTTCATTAGAGAAAGGGAGCTAAGGTGCTGGCTGGGCCCTCAATTAGAATTAAGATTAAACAGTGAAGAGTAAATTGAAGAAAAGTTGCATTACAGGCAGGCATAGAAAAGGACTGGTTGTCAAGCACATAGCAATGGTTTAGATCAGGATTCTCAGTGGTGAGATGAATGTGGAGTGGTTCTTGCTCCATAGGAGGTATCTTTGTTGTCACAATAATAGGACAGTGCAACTGACACACATTTAGTGTGTGGCAGCTGGACACCTTTCAATATATATGAGTCACTCTAGAGAGGTCCTGCTGCACCTGAAGCCTACTGCCTATTTTTGCAAATAAAGTTTTATTTAAACACAGTCAATCCCATTTATTTATGTGTTGTCTGTGGCTGTATTCTTATATTCTTGTGCCAGACTTTATGGTCCCCTTTACTTCTGTAAAGTCCGACTCTTTAGGGAAAAAAGTTTGTCATTCACTGTTCTAATACAATGAACAATTATGTTCCAGAAGACTTTTGATTGTACTATTAGGCATTCACAGAGTGAAAAACTTGTTTATATTTTTCTGAGGCTATAACCCTCAACTCTTTCAAATATAAACAAAAAGTATGATCTGTACAGATTTATTGCATTCCAAATTTCCCAGGAACATAACTGCAGTGTAAATTTAAAAGAAAAATGAATTTTGTCTTGTTGAATGTTCTTTTATAACTTTTACATATATAACTTGGAAAATATATAACTAATGGTAGTTCTGCTTGTGTTATTGAAGTCACTGATGTTATACCTGTAGATCAGTCTGTATTTATAGTGGTTGCATTTATGCTGATTCTATATGTAGGTGTGAGCCCAATGCCTCAATGTTTTCTAACATAATTGTACCTATTTATGTATTTAAATATACTGTTTTATTATAAATAACTTTTTATTTCTTTTTACTATTCTTGTTATATATAGATAAATATATTTGAAATTATTTACATCAATATTTTAAATTGTATGTATGCGTATGTCCTATTATCTATGAATTTCATTTCATAGTAGTAAAGACAAATTTCATATACATATCTGCATATATTTCACATATATCCATGTGTTTTAGTTACATGTAGATATAGATTAGTACATTTGAAATTATGAATATTTGAAATTATTCATGTGCATACATCTTATTCAGTATGAATTTCAGTTCATAGTAAAAGCAAAGTAGTAAAAATGTATAAAGAGGGTTCTATGCCTGATGGGATTGGAAACCACCAGCTGAGATGGATCAGTTGGTTTTTGTTGAACTGTGGAGGAAGACAAGTTGGACAGTGCTATTGAATTTGATTCTGGTAGACCCTGAATGTGAGGCATTAGGAGAGGGCCAGGAGACTGACCAGCCGGCATGTTCCCCAGCTTGTGGGGTGTGTACTAGAATTAATCAACCTTTTCTCACTATGGGTGCTGATCTAGATTCAAGGTTTAGAGCAAGTTCATAATGATAATAGCATCCATTATGACAGGTAGGTCCGTTTGTAGGACATTTTAAGGGAAGAAGCAAGTAGAGTAAAATGAAAATTGTTGATGATCTACTTGTTAACACTGGCCTTAGGACACCTGAAAGGGCAACACAAGGGAGAAGAATATGGTGAACCTAGGCACACTGGGAGCTGGGTTTGCCTGGCAAGATGACTTCATTCCGAGCAGGGAGATGAACAGGGGACTAGCCTTAGGCTGCAGTTGTGTTGTAGAATGCAGGGCTGCATAAATGGGACCTCACTGTGTGGGTCAGTGAGCCTCTGATACAGCAGACTGTATTCTTAAAGAGAAATCTGGTAGTATGATACAATATAGATTAAATACAGAGGAAATTAGAAGCTGATAAATCAGTCATTCAAAGTACTAGAGACTGGAAATTATGGATCTGTTAGAAAGCAGGGACAAAAATGATATTTTGAAGAAAAAATGCCAGAGACATATAGATTATTGGTTATAGATGATATGGGAGGAAAATATCAATAGTTCTAATTTTGAATGAGTGAAAAAATGGTTCCAGAGATGGAAGTAGTTTGTGTGTACATTACTTTTTTTAATACTTTATAGCTTGAAAGTACTGTTACTCAATTTAATCTTCAAATGATCCCTTTGAAAGGGGGTTTATTTTTTATTTTGTAGAATTTTTTAATATAACTATGGAATCAAGGCCCATGTAGTTGTCTGAGGAGGGGATTGTTATG